GAAGCATTTCTTACTTTAACGCATGAAGGTCTTAAAGTTTCTGGGATACCTCTTGGTGCTTCAACAAAAATCATAAATTTGCTTAATGTCATTCAAGGAGGTAAGCGAACTTCTCTTTCACGCGCTTTTATATTCAATAATACCGAATATTTATTCTTGTGCTTTTCTTTTTGCTTCTTATCGTCAAACCCGCCTAAAAAACACATTCACGTTATCGTAGAGCAACCTGTTACTGGTGAGTCGTAATAAATTTAGATAACACGACCTTGCTGGATTTTTCGTTAACCATTTTTTTGTCTTTATTATGTGACATCGAATACATAATCCTTTGCTTTTTTATTTACTGCTCCTTATCCTCAAAACCCCAACACAGAAGTTAGGAAAAAAATCATTAGTGCTTTTCCTGGAGGTATGTATTAAGCAATTTCTGCAAAAAACTCGTCGTTCTTATGCTGAGGCCGATCGGACGTACTATTTATATGCTAGGGTTGCCATATGTGAAACCACAACCTTTACTTTACACTTCTGGTGCTAATTGGGAATATCAACCTGACCCATCTTTGGAGCAGATCTTGCGAAGAGAGCTTAAAAATCATTATGAAAATTTTATTTTAGGGCGTTTTGACAAATTGAATCTTCCGTTATATCTATTCCTTTCTGGAGCTGGTACCGGAAAATCTCGAAACGCTAATGAATTCCACCAGACGGCAATCACATGTTTGTCAGCTCAAGAAGATGAGGAGCTGTTGACTAGGATTAAAGAAGCTTGGGTATTCCATGTCACCTATGAGAATGGCTTTGACTTACGAGAAGATGAATCTCGCCCTTATCATGCCATTGGTACCCGTATGCTATTTCAACTTCTCAGAGAGAAAATGACGCTTAATAAAATTATCGAGACATACGAGCCACCAGATCCGTTGGATGTTGTGACATTGATTGCCAAACATTATAATCAAGACTTGAAAAACGTTAGTCATTTTGGTGGTTGACGGCATGCAACAACTTATGGTGAACAAAGATGACGGTTTAAGGTCGGATTCTTCGTTTTACAAGACTCTAACATCTGTCGCAGATCTTGCATTTAGTGGCACTTTTGTGATACCTGTTTGTACCTCAACTATCACTGGGCCGATTGATGCTGTGTTGAGATATTCTCAGCGGAAACGTATATACCTACCGGTCACTTCTCTACAACCCCCGAGCTATCGACAAGTAGATGGTTCGGTCCCGGTCTTTAAAGATGATGAGATTACTAATATTCTTGTGGAAGACTGTGGAGGGCATGGAAGAGCACTAGAAGTTCTAAATGATTGCTTGGCCGGTCGTGACGTTGAAGAATGCAACGTCAATACCTTGATGAACGATCTGCGTTCTGAACTTACTGAAAAATACCGTGATGCTATTTTTCATTCCGCGGAAGATGCCAGGCCCATTGCGCGAGCAACATTGACTCGACGTATTTTAAATAGATATAAGCCTGTTCCTAAAACTGACAAAACACCAGATGAATATGCTGGGGGTGGGTTAATTCGATTCGAACAAATAGAAAATAGTTCAAAGGGATACCTCGTTGCGCCGTACATCTGGCTCTGGATATTTGTAGAGATATCTCAACAACTTGGAGATCCAATACTTCGAGATTGGGAGTTCACTGATTATGGGGAGCAAAGAGCACTCTTTAATCCAGTAACATCATTACAGGCGAAGTCATGGCAGAGTTTTGAAAAATTTGTCGCATCATTTCGTTGTATAAAGTCAGCCGTGATTGATGAAGATGAGCTAGTAACGATCTCAGATGTACACGCGGGAGCACGTTTGAATGGTGATATCCAATTTAAAAACCACAATCTACGACTTGAAATTGCAAAACATTATAC